CTCTGGGAACTCAACTCTGGAAACTCGAGCCCGAACCCTCTGAACTGAACTCTGCCGCCAGAGCCCGAACTGATTTCTGCCTGTTGGAGCTTCGTTTTTATTGACGCCGACCAAAACCGTGGTGGTTCTGTTGGCGTCGGGGGGTTCCTCGATAATTCTAAATACATATCCACCTCTTTTTATTTCTGGTTAGCGATTTTCCACTCTTTTCCATTTTTGGGAACCCTTCCTCACTCCCACTTTCTCACCATACCTCTGGGGGGCGTGAACTACCCTCCCCACTTCTTCGTAGCAGCTTCTCATACTTATACTCTGGATGGGGCGTCGACAGCCTTCTTCGTGCGTCACTTGATCACTCTCGGTCAATGAGGTTTTCGTCGGGTATCTTTCCTCCTCCTTGGTGCGTCACGTGATCACCACTTGACCAATGATGTCTTAGTCGGGCGTGAACAAACCGTGGCTTTGTTTCGGGAAAAAAAATATCTTGCTTAACTAAAAAAAAATATCTCTTCTCTTTCGCTTAAATCGCCGTTATCATTTCTCTAGCCACGGACAATATGACAACTCTTGTTTTACACGTGGTGTTTGTCAGGTATTTTATCGCTAATTCATCAAGATGGGTGGTATTCTTAACATGGCTTCAAAAAAGAAATATCCCCAAAGTTTTCAGTCAGTCTGTCGCCTCCAAGGAAGAAAGAAAAACACTTCTGGTTCCCCATAATTTTATTATCGCCGGCCAAAGTTGTTTCGTCGAAAAGAATTCGGTCAGCGCACTGCTTGTGTGGGATTTAATTTTCATATCTGTCCAAAGTCCTTTTTAGTGGCCTGTTTCTCGTCACTTATCGAAATAGCATTTTCACTTGAATTTTTCCCTGGCCAGTGGTCTAGATAACACAGCCGTTATCAAAACACATCTGGTTCCTTCTTTCTTTTCCTTTTCTTTTTTTACTCAGAAATTATCTGTCATTGTAATGACACCCTTTTTCATTTGTTACTTATCAATATTTTCATTGTCTCTTAGCCGTGTGTGTGTCTGCTTATCACCTATGAATCGTCTCGCATTTCTTTCTGCCTTCTTTTCTTTCTCTTCCTTTCTCTGCCTCGTAAATGGTGCCACATTATGAGCGATTTGGAAAGCCACTCTTCCGTTAATATGTTTCATGGACAAACACTTACAATTAGATAACTGTTACACGCCCAGATAAAATAGTATCTTGCTGTTCTAAATCGTTAAATTTTCCTTCCTGTAGTACTGTTGGGATAGATATTTGTTTTTATGACGTTTAAAAGTTACGAATATATTAGAAATATGCTAATTTCTAATTCGAAAATGAAACTGAATTTGCGAAAAAATTGTATTCGTTAGTAATGCAGGACAAATAAACTGTGTTCTCGATTTTATTCGGATTTAATCAGTATTGCTTTAATCCACAAAAGGAAAAAATTATTTTTCATTGTGTAAAGAATTAACTTGACATCTAATCCGTTTTGTGATAATTATCTAAATTTGTAATATAGTCGTCAAATATATCACTCTTTTCAAAATAAATAGTAACACTGAAAAAAAGGTAATGCAGACGTATGTTGCGATAGGAATAAACGCCAAAAAAATGTAACTGTTTTAATTAAATTTTGGTATGAATCATCTTGTATCAGAAAGAGTAATATCTAAGAAATATCAATTGTCTTATACTTCAATGTTAAGTTTTGCCTAGACTTTTTCGGTTGGTTACACATTCAACAGTCTCGTCCTGGGTATGACGATAAACTACGTCCAACAGGAAGGCCCCTGATCAGGAGGTTTTAAGGAGCGTGGAAATTGCTCGTGTTTCCAGGTCAACCCTAACCTGGGGTGATATCATCTGTTAGGGTCCCAGTTATGGGCAAATAGTTAACCCCGAAACTGTGGCAAAGCACTATGAAAGTGTAAAAATAGGTTTTAATACCAGAAAAACTTCGTAAAAATTATTACCTACAATAAATGTTTGTAGAAAAAAAAAAAACTATTACCAGAAATATACTTCTGAAGGAAAAATATTACCATAAATAGATTTTTGACAAAAACAAAATATCACGACCAAAAATAAATGTTGTCGGCATTAAATAACCCATTGATGTTTATATGCTGTAAAACAAACCGAACCAAACCAAACATTCAACAGTCAAACAAAACAAATTTATTTATGTTAAATACTGATTTCCAAGAAAGAAAGGACATATAGAACTGAGTATGAACACGACGTATAGATTCAATTATAAACCTGTTCAATCTTTACATATCAGCAGAATTATAAACAGAAGCAATTTTTACAAGAATGAAAACTACCAGTGTTTATCTATATATCCCAGTATAAACACGAATCATGAGTAAACATAAACAAAAATATGAACAAGATTAACATATATCTGTAAACACAAATATAAACACGTGCAAAATAGATCTATTGACGCAAGTATAAAAAAAATTGATTCGATATTATATACGACACCAATTGTTGAAATAGTTTAAAATCCATCAACATAATCATTGCCTAAATGAATTTGCATTAATATGATATATAATTGACATTGTTCTCATTATTTTTTAAATCACCCTTTTATTATCCATTTTTTTCAGGCAAAGTGTCTAATGGCTGCCGTGATTTATCGAGTATGAACAAATTTTCTAAAACCTCAGTCACTTTCCTTAAATCATTTTGCAAACTTAACACTACAGTCTTCGGGCAATTATACGTTTCACGAAAATCCAATAATTTCTATTTTGTATATTGTAACTGTAGTTTATTTGCTAGTATAAGAAGTATTATGAGAACAATGTCCAGGTTTATTTTATTTGTTTCTTTAGGATATATATTTTTATTATTTCCGTTATCTTCGCGTAAGTGACCAAAGAATTGGAACGAGCCAAAAGCGACCATTGCTAAAAATCATTTAATATCCTGAGGAGTTTTAAGTTAACATGGGATCTTTTGCCACATGTTATCAGACCGCAAAAGTACAAATGGCACTGATGACATGTTTCATATATCTTGACCAGTGAAGAGAAAAGGATAAAGGAAGTTTAATTATGACAACCAAAAGCTGCATAATACAGATCACAAAAAGTGGCGCCAAAAAGATCCAAAATAGTGAGGAAGTGAGAAAAAAAACAGATTTTACATATTTCAAAAAATTATTTTATTTATTTATAACTCTAAATTAAATATTATGGAAAATACCCATTTAACAATTTAAGGAATAAATAAAAATCTTTAAAATACTGAATATTGTTTAAGAAAACTATTTTTTGAAAAGCACCCTGAACCTCCCAATAATGTACAAAGTTTTTATGACAATCTCAAGGAATTCGTCATAGTTTCTTTTGATGTTATATACAAACAGATATACTCTTGTAACCTAGGGAAGGTTAATGAATAGAATAATCAAACGAATGTTGGTAATGAACGATAATACATAGGACAATAACAACACATATAAGATTCGCCAGCAGCGTCTAGAAGTAGTAGTCAACTGCTAGAATGAGTCAAGTGAATTCCACAATGAATCTCCAACTGCAGGATATCTACCAACCGCCCCACACGGTCAGATGTGGCACTAATCCAAATTTAATGTAGGGTATCCGAGCCCGTAGGATCGGCCATGAATTCCCAGTAGACACTGTATGAATCGGGATCGGATAGCTGCTTCCCGAGACGAGACATTGCTCTTCGACATAGCCTTGGCTGGGGATCCTCTCTGCCTCCGGGCAGAGAGTTTGACCAGCTCAGCTGGAGGTGAATCTCCAACTGCAGGATATCCACCAACTGCCTCACGCGGTCAGATGTGGCACAGGTCGGATTTAATGTGGGGTATCCGAGCCCGTAGTGTCGGCCAAAAATTCCCCGTAGATCCCGTATAAAACAGGGTCAGTTAGATATTTCCCGAAATATCCAAATGCTCACCAACATACAGTATTTACTGCTGTATTTATGTGAATGGCGACATACCCATTATCGTCTGTAGGTATGCCACAGCATATACAAATTGTTATAATTTGTATAATTATTTAAAAAATATACAAAAACACTCTCCACCCCGGTTTTTTGAACAGGTGTAGAGATTTATCCTTTGTTTCCTGTTTAGTATTGGGCTTCCGCTTCCTTCTAAAGGCTTCTCATTCTTTGTCAGTCGCAGTAGGTCCCTTGATGATTAGTGGCTTATTAACCTTGCTTGATGTGAATTGATTAAACAAATATTTGAATTATAATTGTAGAAAACACGTACATGGATAGAATGAGACATGTGGAGAATGTCAGCGAATCTTTATTTATTGGAGATGAGAATTTCTAAAATGATTAAATAGATTAATGGATTAAATCTAAAATAGATTAACGCCAAGATAGACAAAACGAATGGGAAATAAAGAAGATACTGAGATAGATATTACACCCCCAGTTATATAATTAGTGGATTCAGCAACTCCTCTCAACAGTACAAGCATAGAAATTAATTGCTAGGAATGATGATTCCCTGGTAATTATGCAAATGACTGGGATTTGTCCAAGAAATTCAACGATCTGTGCAAACACTGGAAACTGCAGAATAATAATATATTACGCAAAGACCTTTGCAAAGATTTTGAAATGAGTGGAAATCGTAAAGAAGAAACTACTAGAAAGCTAATTCATTTGAGAAGTTTACTAGGATATTTGTAGACTTGCAGTCACTTTATCTCCAGGAAAAAGGCACCGTATGTAAACTTAATAATAATAATAATAATAATGATAATAATAATAACTCTCGAAGACAATGGTTCCGTGTCCGTACTACAGCGCGCAAAAAGAATTTGCACAAGAAAGAGATGCGGAACAAAAGTATGTTAATAAAGAAGAGATGAAAATGTTGAGGAAAATATATAAATAAAAGGAAAAAAAAAATCGCCGGCCGTTGAATGAAAGAATGAATGTACGTAGTAAAAGAAGAATGGTTTTTGTAGAATTCGATCGGGTTAAGTTGGTAGGTCAAAAACAGAATATTCTTCGTAAAAGGGAAATAGAATTAAATAAAAATGTGGTAAATGCAAATAGAAGAAGAAAGAAAGAGTAGATAGAGAATAAGGCGAGAAAGAAAGATGAGACGAATGGAAGGGAAAGAAAGATTGAGCAAAGTGGAGAAAAAACAAACGGAATGAAGGAGTCAGAAACTAAAGAAAAAAAGAAAGAAAGAAAGAAAGAACAAATAAGAATAAATAACTGAGAGAGAAAAATAAAAATAAGAAGACAGATACGAAGGAGTTTCAATGAAATCGCCGAATTTAATGAGGATCATGATAAAAACAACGACATAAAAAGCAGCATGAGCAACAACAACAACAAAACTAACAACAACAATAATAACAATACTACTACTACTACTAATAATAATAATAATATCAAGAAGAAGGAGGAGAGGAAAAAGAAGGAACAACAGCAAGACATCACTCATAATAACAATATGTGGAAAATATTGAATACGACAAAGAAAACAACGAAAGAAAAACAAATGAAAAGAAACGAAATCGTGTTATAGATAATGAATTTATGAAGGAAAAAGATAATAATTTTGAAAGAAAAAAAAGAAAAGTAGAAGAATTATTCCGATGAACAATGTAACGTGGCCACTCAAAGAAATTTGAATTCAAAATCACAACAAATTCAGAAAAATATAAAAAATATTATATAAAATAAGAATAAAACATAAAATCAAAAATTAATAAATAAATAAAATTAAAAACCTAAAAATCTTAGAAAGCGAAAGGGAGGGAGAAAATATCGAGAGAAAAAGAGAGAGAGAGAGAGTATATCGTTTCAAAAGAGTGTTCTATCTGATCAGAAATCCAAAATAGGCGAGTGTCGGGGTCAAAAATGGCGTCAAACAGAACTGGCAATTCAAAAGAGTATTTGTTGCTGTAAAATTGCATGATCTCATTAGGGCGGTGGAAGCTTCGGTTGATTTCTTGCTTAGCTGGTTGAAATTCCCATAAATTCCACTGGGAAATTTGCTAATCAGGCTCGTTCGTCTGCAGGTGATTGAATAGTGGGACTGGGAACGTCCCTTGAGGATGATTATAGAATTTTCACTCGGCACAGAAAGAGGCGAGCAAGAAAGAGCAAAGCAGGTATAGATAGATAGATAGATAGATAGATAGATAGATAGATAGATAGATAGATAGATAGATAGATAGAAAGAAAATTATATAATATAAGGAAGGGAAAAACTTAAAATAGAGAAAGAAAGCAATAACTTCAAGCTCGACAAAAGTCGAGACCGAGGAGTTGCTGAGAGATAGATGGCACAAGTAATGGAGAGAAATTTAAACAATGCTAACAGGAACGAAACAAATAGAAAAAAATGAAAAAATGAACTATGAGTAAAGGGAAATTATAGAGAAAATATAATTATATATATATATATATATATATATATATATATATATATATATATATATATATATATATATATATATATATGAATAAAAGAAAATTATACAGAAAGACATATTTATAGATATGTGTGTGTGTTTGTCTCTCTGTGTGTGTGAGTGTATGCGTGCAATAAATTATTGAACTTAAAAATTGTATGAATACAGATAGGCATTATTAATTTTTGCTATTATTCAATTCATCTTAATTTCAAGTCTTTTCAGACAATCTTTTCATGGCGTTACTAAGAAGAGTAGAAGGGAAATAAAGATTAAACATTCGGCCAAACTCGATCTCGTATCTCACAATGCCTGCCTTACTGTAGTGATTCAAGCACTTTATTCATGCCTGCACTATGATAAAATGAGCAGTTGCAGTAAAAAAGCAAGTGAAATAAAATTCGAAAAAATAGCGTTAAAAAGGTTGACAATGTATATAGCAATAAAAAACAATGAACATATTAAGCGTATGATGAATATGATTAATTTTAGTAGATAGAACGATGGATAGAACGATAGATATGAATGAAATACGGTTATAGTTGAACAGAAATGAAGAAGAAAAAATAAACTTATAGCAATTGTACATAAATAAAAGGGACCAAAATTGGAGCTAATTCCAAACAACGTAAGATGAATGACATATGTAAAACTATGAAAAAAATATCCCACTAGCAGAAAAGATGTCACAAGACATTGAGAAAAGGTGAGAAATATTAAGTAGAAAGAGGAAGATATCATATAAAAGTTAAAGGGTGATAAAAAGAAGTATAAGAATTTGAAAGAAGGAAGCGTCGAAAGCCAAAGGAAACTGGAGTTGCCAAAAGAAAGTGAATAGAAAGAGGTGTGTGTACAGATGTATCCACCAATGTAAAATTTCGCCCCATCAAATCAACTCTGGCAGCTGGCAGGCCTTAAGGACACGGATGGTACAACCATCAATAATATATATATATATATATATATATATATATATATATATATATATATATATATATATATAATCCGAAGAACAGTAAGTTATTATTGATATTCTTTTATTTTTTATTTCACGGCTCAATGTAAATTTACAGAGCATAAATATTATAAATTAACTGATTTAAAATATGGTTTCTTCGCTACACATTAATAACCATGTTTCAAAAACTGAAACTAGAATCTTCAAATTTAATTGTATAATTAAATTAAAAGCATTAGTTCTGTTTCATCTTCAAGCAAATTTTGGAATTTTTGTATATATATATATATATACACTACCAGTTAAAAGTATTTCACAATTCTCAAAATATTTTATTCCTCATCCTAAAAGATTTATTTTCAATGAAACAATTGAAGTACAACAAAGGTTTTATTTATTATTCTTTCTGAGTCAAACCAATGATCAAAAAACTGCTTAAAATACTGATTCATGAAATTACCCACTTTGGTCGCCATCACTACTTCACATATTCTCGGTATTCTTTCTGGACGTAGACTGAAGATATTTCTACCCAGCTTTCCTGCAAGAGTTGAGATGAGCCGCACTTGTGCGTTGTTTAGCTCTAACTTTTCAAGCAATTTCCTCCCGCAACAGTCCAACTGATTGCGCCGGTCAAGATATCAAGAGAAGGACGTGCTGTTCCTCATTGCTTTTAATGTCTCTCTGATAGAGTTTACGTGTATGCTTTGAGTCATTTTCGGGCATGTGTACAGATCCTTGACCCATAAGCCGCGTTCCAGATGGGATCACGTGATGATGCAGTATGCGGTGATAGCCGGCCTGATTCAATTTGCTTTTCATCTGGTGAAAATCCCTGTCTTTACAATTGGCAACCCCCCAATTACCACACACACACACAGACACACACACCATAACAGAGCCTATTACATACTTTACGGTCGTTGTGATACAAGAGGTTGCAGCTCTGTCACCAAGTCATCGCCACACATAAAACCTCCTATTTGCCCCAAAGATTTCGAACTTTTATTCGTCAGTCCAAAAAACTTTATTCCACTGCTCTATTGTCCAGTCTTTGAGCGCCTTGGCCCATTGGTGCCTTTTGACATTGTTTTGATTCCTCAACCGTGGTTTCTTGACAACAATTCTACCATTTAGGCCAGTTTCACGAAGTCTTCGCTTCACAGTGGATGTTGAAACATTTTTCACGACATTGGTTCAGCTGTGCAGTGATATTTGGCGCAGTCAGTCTTCTGTCACGCACTGGTGACTCTGTTGAAATTGTCCACTGCTAATATTGTTGTTTTTGATCTACCTGCCCAACTTTTGATCTTGTTTTGTCCCGTTTCCTGATGTCTCCTAACAGTATAATTCACTGTAGTTCTGGGAATATTTTTTTTTTTTAAATTCTTTGCTTGAATATCCTTCTTTTTTTTAAGTAATGATCTCTTGTCTTTGTTCAAGTGTAAGTTTACGTGTTTGGGCATTTTATTGAGACAGAAGTTTTGATCCAGAAGAAAGTTTCAAAATTTAGGTTTTAATTTATACAAAATAAGAATAATTAATAATTTCACTACTGGGTAAAGTACATTGGCAGCTTAGGTAAAACAGTATCATGCAAGCAGTAATTCAACACAATATAGTCTCATGTGAGTTCAAGTGGAGGCATAATGTAACATTTGGAAAGCGTTTATTCATGATCAGTGATTAAGAAAGACGCCTTCAAATCAATTTTTCAAAACATGTCTGGTTATACTCCAGTCAACATTACTGAAGAGGACATGTATTTAGTATAATAAATACAACCATTGTGGTTGCATGTTTTATTAAGATTAAAATTTGAGGATGAGAAATAATTTTTGAGGGTGGCCAAATACTTTTGACTGGTAGTATATATATATATATATATATATATATATATATATATATATATATATATATATATATATATATATGAAAATATATAATGAAATATATGTTTCTGTGAAACACAGGAAACCGTCGACTTAATTCACGTTACAAGATTACGTGCTTCGCAATTTAATATGTGGTGCATGATCAGTTGAGTATGGCCGATGTATTAGGTCATCCTAGCCAAGAGGTACCAATTTCAACCAGGTCTGGAAAGAAACGAGAATTTTGGCGTTGAGTTGATGAAAACATCCTCTGGAGTGACGAGACTGTATTCCATGTTGTTTGTTTCATCATTCGTCACAACTGCTGTTATTGTGAGTCGTGTAATATCGATCCGATCATGATGGTTGAGAGGATACAAACTCGGCCAAAATGACCGTGTGGTGCGGATCGACGGAAGCAAGAGTCGTCGGTCCATATCTTCGACCTGACACAATAAATGCGGATCTCTGTCTTCAGATGCTCGAAAATTACGTGTGGCCCACGGTGTTTGGCTGGGATAACATTGGTGACCTGATAATCAAGCAGGTTGTTGCACCACCTTAATTCGCTCTTGCGTGGTTAGACCAACATTTTCTAGGTTACTGGATGGGATGGCGCGGAACTCATGAATGACATCCAAGAAGTCCAGATCTCATTTCTTGTGATTTTAACCTGTGGGGTTACAAAAAATGGAGGCGTACAAGACAAAACATCTCATACTGGTGGACTTAGAGACACAGATTCAGGAGGTTGTCAATGATATCCCAGCCCAGAAGGTTGTATTATTCCATCCCTGGCTGTTTGATAAAACTCACTGACGCCACCGTTTCTTCCGTTGAAATATGAAGATTTACTATCATTTTGCCATGAAATAAACATCATGTATCATTTGTTTCAATAAATTTGTTATGGAATTTATTACCAATTTTTATTTCCTACTTACTTTTTACCCACGCTGTAAATAATATATTCCAGACACGTCTTTAAAGACCATCAATTGAAAAACCATACAAACTTTGTTCCAACTCAAGACTTCTTCTTTTCTAATTGCACATGCTTTTTATCGCAACGACTTTCATATCTCGTTCCTGTCAAATAACTTTTCATATATATAACTAATTTACATTTCTACACTAGTGCTACAATATTTTGTTTCAGATAATAATTTTTCTGAGAGTTCAGCAATAGCATATTTCTGCATGTATAAAATTTTAATTTTAACAATGTAATATCAAACATATTTTCAATTAAAATGAAAGCATTAAATATCGGACTATGGATCACGCGTTGCCGAAAAGTATCAGTAAGTTTTGGGCAAGTAATAATGGGGAAGGTGTTTGAAAAATATATTTAAAACGCCTATTTTCCTTCTGCCAAAAATGGTTGAATGTTAGAAACAAACTATTTTTAAGACGATTTCAGAACGTCAGAGATTTATATCTTTCGCAAGAGTCTTAGTGACAAGTGAAAGTTACCCAGAATCTTAACACGGTTTGAAGAATTCTGCCCATACAACAGTTATATCTCCATTAATATCCACTATGGACTGATAGTGTTGCATAAACACTGAACTGGACGGACGATATCAATAATCATGTTTTAGAAAATTATTATATTATTTGCAGCAATACTTTGTTTGCTAAACATTTATGTTCGGTTAACTGAGTTAATTATGATTTTTGTTTGTGTTATTTGTGTGTTATGAACATGAGACGTTGATTGGCGAGAGAAATACGCAAACATTTCGAGAAAGAAAATATTTTAAGAGATAATTCAGGCATTTTAAAACAGTTAACAGAGGAATCCCATTAATTTTTAGAAGTTTGACATATATATATATATATATATATATATATATATATATATATATATATATATATATATATATATATATATATATATATATATATATATATATATATATATATATATATATATATATATATATATATATATAACCTACATTTCAGCAGTTATAACAGAGAGAGAAGATAAGGAAAAGATTATGGAGTGTCAGAAGCTCAATAGGAATTTTGGGGAGTGAAAGAAACATAACTGAAGATATAATAATAAATTGTATGTGAGTGGAAAAATACGAGGAAATGAAGACTGGACAAAGAAATCAATGAATAAATATACAAAATCGCGAGATGTAAAATATCTCGCGTTATTTCCGACTCTTTTCAGATCATGGGATGTAGATGTTTTGATGCCTTAATAATTAGTTAGAAATCGATTAACTGTCATCAATATATAATTTATGTATGCAAGATTTCCAGTATATATTGAATGCTAATATAAGAAAGTATTTCTTTGTTAACTAATTTGAATCTTTTTGTGATGCATATGCGTAACAAGAAATAGAAAAATGATTGAATGGAGATTAAAAAAAAACATAACGAAGAAAAATACAAAAGTATGAACAAGTATACACTGTATAAAATGTATACGCGTGAAGACACAAAGAAACAATGTTACGAGGATATACATGTATAAATGCATACACAATCACATATATATATATATATATATATATATATATATATATATATATATATATATATATGTGTGTGTGTGTGTGTGTGTGTGTGTGCTCTCTCTCTCTCTCTCTCTCTCTCTCTCTATATATATATATATATATATATATATATATATATATATATATATATATACATACGTGTGTGTGTGTATGGGTTTTTGTATGTGTATATATATATGTATGTCTATATGTCTATATATATGTCTGTGTAAGGTTATTATATATATATATATGTGTGTGTGTGTGTATGGGTGTTTGTATGTGTATATATTCATGTCTATATGTATATGTGTATGGTTGTTATATATATATATATATATATATATATATATATATATATATATATATATATATATATATATATATATATATATATATGGTGGTGGAAAATCATTGACCAGACTAAAAAGTAATTTCAGTACCAATATCTGATGTTTAGTCATTTGGCCAGATTTTCATATGTAGGCCGATTTGAGAAGTTTTTAACAAATGTTCGCACACATATACATACACAGACACACGCTCTTACATACAATCAAACGAACAAACATACACACCCTCCACGCCCATGACTATTTTTATATCATTTCATTTGTGTTAAACTTATTTCACTTTACTAACTATTATACAAATAATCGTCTTGGAGAAAAATTTTCCATAAGTATATATAAATACATTATCTCAGATTTGAATATTATTTTTATTTGTGTACATTGTATTTTCTTTTTCATTTATTTCGTGACTTTGTTTTTTTGAACAGTATTAAAAGTTTATCTCTTGTCTCGTCTTTAGGATTGGGTTTCTGGTGCCTTCTAAAGTCTTCTCCTTCTCTTTCACTCCCAGTAGCCCCTTACTTCTTAGTGGTATTAGCGCCTTGCTTAGGGTGTATTGATTGAAAATAAAAAAATACAAAAATGACGCGTTATATTTCTCGTATACATAAAATTTTATGAAAATTTTACAAATTTTCTTCAAAATAAAATTGATTTCAAGCATCTTGAAACTAATTTTATTTTGAAGAAACTTGCATAATAAAATCTTACAATGTTCTCTTTTTTTCTGTTCGATATGTTTTATTCGAAACGTTCTTTTTCTCTTGTTGTAACCTAGATAAGGTTATTGAATGAAGAATATCCAGAACGGAGGTTGGAAATGAAACGGTAATCTTTAGATCATCAACAAAATACAATACTCGCCAGCGGTGGGAAATAGGTAAACCACTCCTAGTGGTGGACTGCTTAGACGGCATATTACTCCCGCTTACAATAGTATAGAGCGTATTTATGAGGATTGAGACATACACATTAGTCTTCATAGGTACGGTATATAACAACTTTTAACAAATTTCTCTATAATTTCCCTACTTTTGCTTCCATTTCGTTCCTTACCTTAGTGTGTGTGTGTGTGTGTGTCTGTACGTTTATATATTGGATCAGATTTCCTACATTTTTCAACCAATTTCAACAAAACTTCACAGGACTACGTAAAATTACCTTGCGGTGGTTCTGACAGCGCCAAAAATTGGAAAAACAATTGTTTTTGCACGAAATCAATTTGAAAACATGATTAAGTGGCATTAATGGAAGGGGGAAAACTCATATCGAGTTATACTTATTAATATCGAGTTATCGAGTCATACTTATTATAAAACCCAGGTTGGTTGTTTGTTTGTGTGTGTGTGTGTGTGTGTGTGTGTGTGTGTGTGTGTGTGTGTGTGTTCGTTTATATATGGAATCGGATTTCCTATATTTTTCAACCGATTTCAACAAAACTTCACTTTTTGGCAGGTAGTGTTTCTTATTGTCTTGCACACTTTTTCTTTATTTTTTACATTCAGAATGCTTTAAAAATTCCATTTACAAGACAATTGTTTATAATAAAATTCTATTCCATCCGTAGACCCATAACGATTGAAAACAATGTTTTTGTTTGAGTTTGGGTTTGACCAATTCGTAAAAAAAAAAAACCCAAAAAATAAAACAAAAAAAATAAAACTAATTAAGACATGCGTGTCCGTCAACCTTAAACAATAATCTTTGTCAATTTTATTTTTCCGTCTTTATGATGGTCAATACTTGATCTATCTCTTACTGTTACATCTCCGGGCAACGCCGGGCTCTACTGCTAGTCGTTAATATTTCTGTTCATTTTCGTCGAAATTTCTGTCGTTAACCATTCAATCAAATTAGCTTCTTCAACTTCTGTCAGATTTCTCTGCAATTTTTTGTATATTCCTCTACAATTGCAATATCTCTTTCAATATAACTTTTTGTTTCCTTCTTCCGCTTTTTTTCTTTACTTTTTTAATATTATGATCAGCGTCTCATTTTCCACTATTTTAGTGCTTTTATTTTTACTGCTGTTACAATCGTTTTTCCTGTTCTTTTTCCTGAACCGCGTAGGGATAATGTTACTTCAGAGTCACAACCCTGACTATCCAGGCCATGCAAATGCCATTAAAGCCAAGTCATTGTCGGAGGGTGACTTTGAAAATACAAGATGTTCTCCCTTAACAAAGTGTTATTATTTGTTTTGCGCACTCACAGTTTCCACCTTTACTCAAATCGTTTCATTTTAAAAGATATCTGCTTGTGTGGGCTTCGGAAGAAAACAGCTGCTCTTCGGATAGTTTCGAATATTTCACTAATACATAAATAATATTTACCCACTTCCTTAACTTATCAGTTCTTTATTTTATTTAGGTCGATGGGTGGGGCGTAGCTTAACGCTGTTTTTGTTTTAACTCTCTGCTATGAATTCTTGTTTTTTTTTTCTCACTGAAAAAAATCACTCGATGCGAAAGTGGGATAAAAAATGACACCAAAAAGAATTTCTTGAACAAATATAAAAAGAAAAAAAAAATAACACATTCAAAAAGTAATAACTTTCATCAGTCA